TAGTAATATTATTTTATGCAATGATAACAAATTTTTAAAAACATTTTTATTATTTAGAAAGAAAAATGCTATGTAGAGCAGTCTTTGACTTTGTCTCTTCATCCTGTAGCTGACTTACATTGATTGATTGGTTTGATTTTGTAATTTAATGTGGCAAATTTTCGTTGCCCACAAATATCAGGAGATTGTGTTAGCTTTTCTATAGGGAAGTGGTATGGCAACTATGTACCCAGCAAATCAGAATTAAACTGAATTTTCTTATATCTTAGTATACTTATTCTATAAATAAGAGAGTTGGAGTAATGCAAAAAATCTGTTAATAACAAAGTAAAACATAACTGAGGGCCTAGAATAAACCTTGAATGGACCCATATGATTACGCAATCCCTCACTTGTTTTGACAGGCTGTAACAGAGCTGTCTCTTGATTGCAGAGCATTTTTATACAGGTTTTCCCCCACATTTCACAAGAAGTTGTTTTTTCCTTAATCTCTAAAACAAGGAGAAAAACATATTTATACCAGTCTTCTGCAGAAACAAATAATTTTAGAAACTTTATTTTTAGTGCTTTACCTTTTCAGTGTTTCATTACGGATCTCCACATATGTGCAATAGTATAATTACCCTGCAGCTGCCCTTAGGTAGTTTCAACAATATCAATATTTTCCCAGTCTTACTTCATCCATTCCTACAAATACACTTGCAGAAAATTTTTTTATTTTGAAATAATTATAGATTTACTGGATGCTGCAAAAAAGTAAATATACAAGGAGATTCCATGAGCCTTTCTTTCAGCCCCCTGCAATGCAATGGTATGTTGCATAATTATAGGAAGCTATTCAAATAAAAAAACTGACCTTGGTGCAAGCCACAGCATTTTCAGATTCCCACCCATTTTATAAGCACGTGTGTGTGTGTGTGTGTGTGTGTGTGTTCTATCCGATTCCCTTACTTGTGTAGCTTCATGGAGCCCCACCACAATGAAGATACAGAATGACTCTGTAGTCCTTTGTAGTAGCGCTTTACAGCCACCCTTGACCTTCTCTCCAAAGTCTCTGACCTAATCTAGTCTTCATTTCTCTAATTTTACTGTTCAATGAATTTTACACCAATGGCATCATGTCATTTGTAATCTTTTGAGACTAGTTATTTTGCACTCAGTATAATTCCCTTGACCTCCATCCACTTGTGTCAATAATTTGTTATTTTTTATTGCCTAGTCCTATTTCACAGTATGGATGCAACACAGTTTGTTTAACCATTTACTCATTGAAGGATATTTGGATTGCTCCAGTTTCAAGCTACTACACATAGAACTGTTAAAACCATGCAGGTACAGGTATTTGTGTAAACACAAATTCATCTCTTTGAGATCAATGCCCAAGATTGCAATTGCTGGTTCATATGGTACGTGTGTGTTTAGTTTTAAAAGGAACTGCCAAAGTATTTTCCAGAATGTCAGTGACATTCTGCATTCTTACCAGCAATATGTGAGTGATCATTTCTCTGCATTCTCACCAGAATTTAGTGTTGCTATTTTTTTCATTGTAGCCATTTTGATAAGTACATAGCAGTATATCATTGTGCTGTTATCCATTTCTCCACAGTTTGCATTCCCAAATGGCTATTGATGACGAGCAGAAAAATGCATTTTTGATTGGCATAATGCCACCAATTCACCATTGATTTATTTTTTAATTGAATTCTTTATTCTAATGCTTAAATAAAAAATACCAGTCACATTTATATTTGGGACAGATTGCTTTTTATAGTTAAAATAAAGTTCTAACAGTTCTTTTGTCTAATTCTGTTCATCTTTTACGTTCTATTTCCTAAATATTTTTTGTGTTTACAAATTTCTGATTCAAAGTAATTTATGTTTGATGAAGGAAATATGGAAAAATAAAAGCTGAAGAAGGAAGAGCAGGAACAAGAAAAACACATCTGAAATCTCTACCAATAACAATGCCATACTTAAATTCACACACACACACATGCACGCACATATTTTTACTCAATTGGAATCACACCCTTTATGATATTGTGCTCATTGCTTTCTAGAATTTAATATACTCTGTATTATCTTTTTATCCACCAATATTATTCTACATTATTTTTTTTCTTGGGAGTAGAGAATATTTTTGTGACATTGTTTATTTAAGGTTAATTTTATTGTTGTTTTCAAAGATTACATGTTATTTATAGTGATGACTCCCTTCGAACCTTTTCTGTTTCTTAATTTTTGTTCATTCACACTTTGATATAAAGAAATCTGAGAGGATATATAGAATCTATGTCAAAATTCTCATCTTCCACATTGTTCTGCAATCTTATTATTTATGCCCTATATAAGAAAAAAATAGAAGATTGCTAAATAATTGCAGAGTAAGTCATTTGTGCTGAAGCATTAATGCATTAAAAATTCTGGCATGTCTGAATTAATCACATCAATATTAAACCAATAGATACATGTTTCACTCCCTGAGAGTAAAAACAGTGGTCTTCCTTTTACGATTGAATGCTTAACACCTAGCAGGGTACTTGACAAACTGTAGATGTCAAAAAAAAATTGTCTGATAAACAAATGAAGTGCTGTATTGGGATTTGCATTTGAAAAAGTGTGTATTCAGCCCTCACTGTGAGCAAGAATGCTCTCTATTCCCTGTTCCTGGTTTGCTAAGCTGGTTAAGGCCAGAGGGGCCAGCAGCTCCTCCTTTCCTCTTCTTCGCCTCATCCTCCTCCTTCTCTCCTTAGCCTTCTTTTCTCTTCCTCCTTCTTCTTTCTTCTCCTTTTCACCTCCTTCCTCTTTTTCTTTATTTGTATTTATCTCAGCAAGATCTCTCAATTACCTGGCTGATTTTGTCCTGCGTTGGCCCTTTCTGTGCAAAGCTCGCCTGAAAGTCCAGACCACCTATAGTTGTGTCAGACTCTTAATTCCATCTCTCCTTTCTTCAACAAAACCTGTCCTCCTGAGTCCAGTCACTGTAAGACGCCCATTTCTTCTGCTGGGTGATAGCATCTGCTGGATACCTACAGGTTTCTGCACAACTGATAGGAATCCTGAGAGTTAGCTTCTACTGAGCTTTACCAATATGCTAGGTACCATTCTGAGCTCCTTATGTTTTGGCTTCTTTATTCCTTTTTACAGCTCCTTCAGGGGACTGTCATTATCATTCCCATTTCACAGTGAGAAAACAGACACAGAAAGTAGAAGGAAGTGGCGATGGATCACTGATCCGAGGAACAGGATCTACATTGTGTCTTCTGTCTGGTTCAGTTCAGTGGCAGTAGCCACAGTCAATTCTACTCTCCTGCAGTTGATGCCAGACATCCAGCTTCAAAGCCCAGACTCATTACATTCTTCCAAGTAGCCATGGAGCCTGCATCATTAGAACCTGCCAATGATTTATCAATGAGTAAATCATTGTGGGATTTCTGCGTTTGGCTTTGGCTGGTCTTTGGAGGTACTTGTAGACTCCTTCTGAAGTCAGAAACATTTAAAAGTCTTCTTATTCAGGACCAGCCTGGCTAACATGGTGAAAACCCATCTCTATTAAAAGTACAAAAAAATTAGCCGGGTGTGGTGGTGCATGCCTGTAATCCCAGCTACTCTGGAGGCTGAGGCAGGAAAATTGCTTGAACCCAGGAGGTGGAGGTTGCAGTGAGCTGAGATCATGCCATTTCACTCTAGCTTGGGAAGCAAGAGTGAAGCACCATCTCAGGAAAAAAAAAAAAAAAAAAGTCTTCTTATCCAGTTCTTGGTTCTGAAGAATTTATGGCTGCTCTTTTAAATCCAGGGCAACTTTGACACCCCTGCTTTGTGCCTACATTCTGAATAGTTTCCGTAGACTTAAATCTGCTCCTTTATTCTTTGATACAATAGTGTGTTCATTAGCCCTAGCTACTGCCTCTCTGCCTGCTCTTTCTTGAGTTCTACATTCAGCAGGTGTCTTAGCCCCATGCTACACATCACTGATTCAAACCCTCAGTTCCTAGCTGGGGGTCTGCATCAGGCCATGTTTTTGTCCACTTCTGCCCATCCACTGTGTGACAACGAATAGAGCTAATTTAACCAGAAAGAAAAAATCATGCAGATGTAAAGAAATAATCTGAATTCTTAGCAATGGCCATCTGTTTCCAATACTTTAACCTAAGAAGAAATCCCATTAGGAATCTTAGTCTCCTGGAATGGAAGCAGGAGAGATGGTTTTTGACATACTGGCACTTTGGACCACACCATTCTACTGTAGCATAGAGTTGGCCCTGTCTCTGCAAGTGGAGAAGCAGAATCTCTATATAATATTTACGTGGATGTTTTGGGAAGGATAATATCCAGGATGGGTCATGTCCAGATTGGTGGTCATGTGCGTGTCACACACATTTGCATTTTCATTATATATTTTCATGCATTACTGATCATTCACTCACTTAAGAAACATACCATGAGCAACTACTCTCTCCCAGGAGCTGTTTTAGGTGACAAGGCATTTAGTACTACATCAGGAGTCCCTATTTCTACATAGAAGTAGCCTTGGAATTGCCTTGGAAAGTTAAGTCTGAAAGTAGCACAATAGACTTACAAATTAGAGTCCCAAGGGCACAGATTATTATCATATCCTTCATTATGGGTTCATGCTGATGGGACTTTTTCTGGCTGTCCTCCCTCTGGCAAAGGCCATGTACCTCTCCTGCAGAGCGGAGCTGTGGGGTCAGAACATCACATGGCTGCTTTGTGTGGGACCTAGAGGATGTCTCTGGTGGAGTGGGAAACTGGAACAAGGAAATGTGGCTGAGAGACTTCCTGAAATCAAAAGTAGGCAGGATGACCGACCTAGATCACCAACAATGGAAGCATAAAGAAAGAAATGGATGAAAAAGGAAGATTGCAAAGGGTGTATTTGGAGGACAAAAGAGAGGAAAAAGAATGAAAGCAACTGAGGCGTTTCAAGCAAGAAGTCTGGTAAAATATAACAATGCCTTAAAAAAAAAAAGTCTAGTAAGATAATGCACATATGGATTTGTAGAAGTCAGTAAAGAGAAATTTTATTTTCAATCTATTGTGAAGATCAAGACATCAATCTGGCCTTGGAGCTCAGAAGAGAAATTGGTCTAGACATGTAGGTAGGGAGCAAAGCTGCATTTAACAATAATAGCCAGCTTTCACTCGGAACTTAGTATGTGTTGGAGGCTATTCTCAGTCCTTTAAATATAGTCCATCATTTGGTTGTTGCAACAACCTGAAGTAGATCTTATCAACATTCCAAATTTACAGTTAAGGAAACAGAGTTACACAGAGCGACGTACCATGCCTAGAATTGCGCAGCTAGTAAATAGGCAGAGGAGGCTGTCTCAAGAACACACTCTCATTTGCAAGGGGACTCTGGCTAGTGTTGGCACTAGCAAATTTTCTTCAAAGGGTTTTTGCAGGAGGAGGTGGGGGTGGAGACACACACACACACACACACACACACACACACACACATATATATATATATATACATATGGCAAAGAGATTAAATAATGTCATAAATCATGGCATGCCTTCTATCATCTGTCCCCTCTGAAGCCCAAGCTCAGTGGCTCCTTACAGTTAGTGCTTTGTGCAGAAGACAGGGCTAACGGTTGACCTAAGGGAGAGATGAGAACATAGGGGAAGAGTGGCCAAAAGCTAGACCAAGGACACCCATATTTAAAGGACAGGATAAAACAAAAGGGAGGAATGGAGAAAGACAGGAAAGGAGTCAACAGAAAGAATGTGGGAAAACAAGAAAGTGCCCATCACAGATCCATGGGGACTGGGGGCCTGGGGAAGAAGGTGGCTTTTGTGACCAGCGTGGGAGGGAGGGGTCAGGGCTGAAAGGACAAGCCAACATAAGCCATTGGGAGATCTGGTGATTTTGAAGGCTGAGATGTGAATAGAGCTGTTTGTGCAGTGGGATTCAAGCAAACCAACCGCAGGATGATGAAGTGTAGCAGCAAGATGTGAAAAGGGAAGCACTAAGTTTAGGCTGCTTCCTGGAGTACTTCCCAGTGTGGGCATGCTTAGGAGACAGAGGAGTTTTTGATTCGGGGAGAGGGAAATAGAGGGTGAGAAAGGCTGCAATGCGCAAGGCTTCTTGGGGATGCCATGGGTAAATTCCCAGCCTCTGGGGCCAGAACTGGTTTAAAATGGAGAAATGAAGTGGGGCTGGGCGTTGGAGAGGAGGCCTAATTATTACCAACCTCATTAGACACCACTAATAGTTATAAACAGATAATTTGCAAGAAGATGAAAGAATCCAAATTCATGTTGCCAATACTAAATATTTAACTAATGGAAAATATAGGCTTTGAATTGGCTGTGAAACCCTCAAATGATGAGTTAAATTTTAAATACTTTGTGCCCTGGAGATGATGTTTCCATCCCCGATTTTGCCAGATGGGGTGTGAGTCACAGCACAGGAAATAACACTGGATTTTGCATTACTTTCCTTGTACAAAGGATGTGAACCTCCTGAAACCAGTCACCCTGCAGATGAAATAAAAACCCAAAGGGAGGCAATTAGGATGACTGTGTTCCACGGAGCCAACCCCACACATCCAGCAAAAGCCGGGTCAGAGCTCTGTGGCAGGAAGCCAGGGATGGTGAGTGCAGCCACAAGCGGAAATGTTTGCTTCTCCCCACGCCAGGAGGCAGATGCCAGATAGAAAGACCCGCCAGTGAGATTCATAACTGTGGAGACTTCAGCATGGGGAGAGGATGATCTGGCATGCCTGTGAAGCAGTCAGGTTTTCCTTATTCCCTCTCCTACTTACTTCATCTTCTTTTGAAGCACATGTACTAAATTAGATAGATTTAAAACTTTATAATGAAACATTGTGTCCTGGTCATTTGTGGGTTACGTTCTCGGAACAAACAGCAGTTACAGAATTATAAGTGTGTGGATAAAGAGTGTTAGCCATGCAAGCTTATGAAATAACAGGGCACCGTGTGATGTTAAAGATAGCTGGGATAAGCATCATGTCTGAATGCACGTGCCAGGTATTTCAACCCCTTTCTCTTCTGTCATCATTTTTATTCTCTTTCCTCTTCACTGGTTCTCTCTCTCACTTCTGCTGAACACTCAAACAGATATCCCCTTCCCAGGAAAACATGATGCTTCTGTTCACTTTGTCTTCCATTTCTGCTCAGTTTCTTTAACTCTCAAACTTCTTAATACATTGCACATCTCTCTGTCCAATTTTGCACCCTCTTTGCCTATCTTTCCTCTCTAAATGACATCCATGATACTTCTGCTCAACTAAGACCAGACTGTCAAACGTCAATGGTGACGTTACTGGCCAAACCCAACTGATTCTATTCTTTCTTATTTTGGAGATGCAAATCCCAGAAACAGGGTATGTGTTTCCAAAGTTATTCACCCCATATGCAGGACTTCTGTCTTACTGGTGTCCCTGATTTCATATTGTTTATTTTTCTCTCTCTCATATTCTTCTATCCATATCTCTCTGTCCTTCCTATCATGTGTCTATCCATATAGTGTATTACTTTGATCTCACTGAGGCTTCTTCCTCCTTTGCTTCCTCCTTCCACTTTCCCTGGTGGCTGTTCCCTAGCTCAGCTCTTCATGTTTAGTCCAGGCTGCCTCAGTAGTCTTTTTCTCCTGCCCATATCTTACTCAAAATGTAAAACTCTGATGATCTATAGACACATGATCTTATGTATGTTATTAGTCCATTTTCATACCGCTATAAAGAACTGCCTGAGACTGGGTAATTTATCAAGGAAAGAGGTTGAACTGTTTAATCACAGTTCAACATGGCTGGGGAGGCCTCGGGAAACTTACAATCATGGTGGAACGTGAAAAGAAAGCAAGGCACTTTCTGCACAAGGTGGCAGGAAGGAGAAGGTCCAAGCCAAAGGGGAAAATCCCCTTATAAAACTATCAGCTCTACTGAGAACTCACTCATCAAGAACAGCAGAAAGGTAACTGCCACCATGATTTAACTACCTCCACCTGGTCTCTACCTTGAGCTGTGGGGATTATGGGAATTACAATTCAAGTTGAGATTTGGGTGTGGACACAATGCCTAACCATTATCATTCTGCCCCTGGCCCTTCCCAAATCTCATGTCCCTTTTGCATTTCAAAACCGATCATGCCTTCCCAACTGTCCCCCAAAGTCTTAATTCATTCTAGCATTAATCAAAAAGTCCAACTCCAAAATCTCATCTGAGACAAGTCCCTTCCGTCTATGAGCCTATAATATCAAAAGCAAGTTATTTACTTCCTAGATACAGTGGGGGTACAGGCCTTAGATAAATATACCTGTTCCAAAAGAGAGACATTGGCCAAAAGAAAGAAACTACAGGCCCCATGAAAGTCTGAAATCCAACAGGGCAGTAATTAAATCTTAAAGCTCTGAAATAATCTCCTTAACTCCATGTTTCATATCCAGGTCATGCTGATGCAAGAGGTGGACTCCCACAAGCTTGTGCAGCTCCATCCCTTTGGCATTGCATGGTACAGCCCCCCTCCTGGCTGCTTTCATGGCCGGCGTTGAGTGTCTGTGGCTTTTCCAGGCACACAGTGCAAGCTGTCAATAAACTATGATTCTGGGGTCTGGAAGATGTCGGCCCTCTTCTTACAGTTCTACTAGGTCACCAGTGGGGACTCTGTGTGGGAACTACAACCCCCCATATCCCTTCTGTACTTCCCTAGCAGAGGTTCTCCATGAGGGCTCAGCCCCTTCAACACATCTCTGCCTGGACATCCAGGCGTTTCCCTATATCCTGTGAAATCTAGGCAGACGTTGGCGTTCTGCACACCCACAGCACCAACACCACATGAAAACTGCCAGGGCGTGGGGTTTATACCCTCTGAAGCCATGGCCTGAGCTGTAACTTGGGCGCTTTTAGCCACAGCTGGAGCAGCTAGGACACAGGGCATAAGTCATATAGAAAAAATGCTGAAGTTTAGATAAAACCATTGGAAAGAGTGTTTCTTACTTAGCTTTTCCATTCGAGATGAATAAATGCTGCCTTAATACTAAAGAAGTTTATTTTTGAACAGATTTAAAGTTTTACTTTAAGTCATAAATGGTAATACCATTGCTAAGAGACAACAACACATGTGACCACGCCTCATATTTGGCATAAAAAGCATTTTAGAGCCATTCTGAGAGGAGACCTAAAGGAAAGCTCTGGCAGAGATAATGCGTCCCCACTTTGCAAGTGTGCTAAAAATAGCAGTGAGAACAGGAACCCCACACAGAAGGAACAGTGTGTGCCAATGCGCAGAGACAGAGGTTGCCTGACATGGAAACTACTGTTGTGGGCAGCACAGGGAGCCCAGGAATGGCCATGGGAAGGAGGCAGGTATTCCTCATGCGCAGGAAGTGCATGCCTGGGTAAAGCCAAGTGCAGCAGGTCCTCAGGGAGTGATGGGAAAGGAGAGAGAAGAAAGCAAGCACAAGGTAAAGTTAAACAGGAAGATGCACAACATTTAACAAGCCCTTGGACTTCAACACCACTGGGAAAAATCATAAAGAAGAACTGCTTTGATTTACTCTCTCTTAAATGCTGAACACTTCTAAAGAGTATACCAACAATGCAAAAACATACGCATGGAGACAAATCATAGCAAGCCTGGGAGTAATTTGTGGTGTATGACAACACTGGTATTTTAATGTAAAGAGAGTATTATTTAATTTTTTGTGTTGGTTTAGTAATTTATTTTTGTTAATTAATAGACTATGTTTTGGAGCAACATTTGGTTTACAGAAAAATGAGCAGAAAGTGTGGTGTTTTCACACACACCTTCATGCCTACCCCCATTAGTAATATCTTGCCTTAGTGTGATATATTTGTCAAAATTAATGACCTTGAGTTTGGTGATAACTTTTTAATACAACACCAAAAACACAATTCAATAATTAAAAAAAAAAGGTAAGCTGCACATCATTAAAATTAAAACTGTCTGCTCTGTGAAGACCATTAAAAGATAAGAAGACAAGAGAAAGTATTTGAAAATA